TTATATTTTGGAGTTTTCTGGGTGTAAACCATGCATAAAATATAATAAACAATTTTAAAGCATATATAAATACAATAAAGCAAAAAAAGAAAAAGAAATTTAAAGTGCTCTGTAAATCTTTTACATCATCAACTTTTATAGTTAAACTCCACAAATCTCATGTTTCCGAAATTAAGGCTCTTGCTCAAATATAATCCCAACATATAAACTCAATAATGCATATTCTGCGATGTGACTATTGCAGACATGCACATTGCGATATTGATGCTAAAACGATATATTGTGCAGCCCCAGTCCAGGGTCACATTTCATACTGACATCGATAATAAATGTTTGTTGAACAGCAATCCAGCATATTAAAATGATTTCTGAAGGCTCGTTTAAGACTTAAGACCAGAGTTATAATGCTGAAAAATCAGCTTTGACATCAGAGGATTTTTTTTTTTAAACAAGCTAAAATTGAAAACAGTAATTATAAATTGCAATAATATTTCACAGTTTCACTGTATTGTTTTATCAGATCAAGGCAGTTTTGTCAAGCTTAAGGCACTTCCCTTATTTCTAACTACCCAAAATTATAAACAAAAAGAAATTATATATTTATACAGTACTTACTAAAAATCAGAAAAGGGTAACTATGCATATATATCCGTCATTGAAGCTGTTGGAAATGATACAAGCAATGCAGTGATATTAAGCAAAATAAATCTAAAACTGTGACCAAATGTCTGAAAAGTTCATAATATAATGGAAAAAACTAAAATTTTTCTTTAAATTGACCAATTTTACAGTTTTACTCACTGATACTGAAGTTAAGTTGGTTTTATATTTGTGCATTCATTCAGTGACAATGTACATTGAACTGACACCATGCTCCTTACATTGTTTATTATAGTACTTTGAATATTCGGTCTGAAATCACATGGAAGTACAACATCAAAATAATATTAGCCCTAGTTAGCACAAATTCACTGTCTTGAATTTTCAAGTAATTTATTTATTTATTTTCCTTTGGCTTAGTCTCTTTATTTATCAGGGGTCACCACAGCGGAATGAACCACCAATTTTCAAAGAAAACTTTTTTTGAATTATATTAAGAAGAAAGTCAGAATGTGCGAATATAAAGCCAACTTTACCTCAATCTCACTGCTACACACTATACAGGTCACTAAGAGGTAGGGCTGGGCTGATAAATGATATCATATCGAATCGCGATAAAATTGATGTCATTAACGATGATAAGCTATGGCCATTTTTACTCGATGACCTAAGATTCAATCACACAGCAGACATACAACGACAGGAATTCGAAATTGTGTTGCTATTAGAGATATGCTATATCACCCAGTATTGTTTTGGAAGCTCGATTCACCTTCCTGTCAGTAGTATTAGCTGTGAAACTGTTGTTTATTTTAATGATGACTATTTTTTTTAAACATTTTTAATTAGGTAGAACATTTATTTAAATATTTCTGCAATTAATTATTTTTTAGAAAATGCAATACGTATATTTTTGTTTGTGTAGTGTAGATATTCTGTCAGTTACAGTTCTTCAGAATATTACATTTATATTGTATATCATAAGTATATTACAGAAAAACAGTAATCAGGCCCGTAGCCAGCCTGGTGAAAGGGGTGGTTCTTTTTTCTCAAAAAGTGGAGCTTATTGCAGTTATTCCTTTAATTTTGTGTTTAATTAGGAGGTTTAAATACTGCATTTAGTGACATTTTAAGCACTATCTGTAGCTGGATTAGATTGTCGGATGTGCTAAAAATATTTCTTAAAGATTAAGAATAAAGAAATATGAAGAAAAAAATACTTATTTTTAAAATACAAATTTAATAACTATATATCATTATAAAAGATTAAATATGTTAAAGTTCTGAATTAAAAACTGTAGCCTATTGTGTTTTATTAGGCAAATAACAACAGCACATGGCACATTCAACTTTCTTCAGTCAGAATTTGCCCATTTGAATATTGAACAATTATAACAATAATTAAATAATAAATAATGTAGAGCTTAACGATTTTTAGCCTTTCTTGTAAACAATACATTTCAAAATTTATGGATAACAACAATTAGTATCTTTTTTTTTTCTTTAAAATATTTTGAAATAAAAGTTCCTTGCAAAGCGCAAACTCTATTTAAATACAATACATTAGGTCAGTAGTGAGAGATGACTTCACTTTCGTCAACTTCGGCTTGGTCTTAAAGAGCCCATATTATACATGAAATAAGGTCATATCTTGGTTGTAAGGGTCTCCAACAACAGTCTAATATGCATGCAAGGTCAAAAAACACTTTCATGGTCTTATAATCTGCATTTATTTTTATCTAATTATCCCAGCGACTCCTGTATGAATCGTCCAGTGATTCATTTGTTCCCAAACCCCTCCTTAGCGCGAAGCTAATCTGCGCTGATTGGGCCGATGACAGTCTGTCGCGATTGGTCGACTGCCTTCAGTCAGAGAGGGAAATGGCCAATAGCTAATCAGCAATTTAAAAAGTAATCACAGTTCATACACGCTCGATAGTGTAGGCGTGGACTTTAGCTGCCACACTATGGCGAGTGGATAGTGCCACGGATAACCGAACGAAGGAGACAGTCGTGTACTCGCCATACCACACACACACACAAACACACACACACCTCCGGATGACAACGCTCCCGCTTCAGCCCGCACCCGCCTGGTTTTAGCCTGAGAACCCGCTCCGTTTTCTGCCCGCCGCGCCCGGTCCCGCTAGAGCGGAGAACACAACCAAAAATCACCCAGTATACAGTCCAGACAGCCAAGCTGCACAAAGCACAAAGTACACAAAGCTCGTTCGTTCGTTCGCTCTCTCTCTCGCTCTCTCTCTCTCTCTCTCTCCCTCTCTCTCCCCGCGCCAGATTTCTGCGGCGCGGGAATACATTTCCGAATAAATCGCGGGAGCAGAACTCTAGCACGGAGCTCCATAAACAAACAGCACGCGTCGCGTTTTTAACGTGACTTTGCACGCGATAAGATAATATATCCAGTTAACCTGATACAGTACAAGCGGTTACAAGTAACAAATCACAACTAAATACATTTGCAAGCTAGAGTCAACGAGGCAACTTTAACCGCATGTACTTACACTTGAGAAATGTAGGAAGAAACCCATCCTGACGTCCATCAGTTACTCTTTACTGATCCTTCCTTTAACAAACTCAGATGAAGTATTCTTTGTAGCATGTAGCTTCCAGAAGTTTCCAACTGCTTGGTTATAATGCTGATGTTTCATCTTTGGGTAGAGACTCAATATATCCATCTGCAGTGTGACTTCAATCGACCGGCATGTTTGTGTGCGTGTGTTTGTGGGTGTGCGTGTGTTTGTGGGGGTGTGTGTGTGTGTGTGTGTCTGGGTTACTGCGTCAGAGGGCGGGGCCTCAGGTTTGAAATCTCCCGGGTTTGCGCGTGCACGTGAAAAACTTTGTTTCGTTCGTACGTCATGGCGAAACACCTAATGAGTCGGTATCAAGGCGACTCGTTTGAAGCACTATGATTCGACTCTTTTATAGATGAATCAACAGTTTTAAACACTGTATTCTTACAGATTTAAGCCTTAGCTGGATACTTCACTTCACTTAGAGCTGTGTTACACACTACATGGAGGGGAATTTTCAAAAACCCATAATATGGGCTCTTTAAAGCCTTTGATGGGTTATTTTCACAGTTTATGATGGCTTAGCAGTCAAAATAGGACAAATGAGCTCATGTTTGGGACAAATTCTGGACCTTTGTCAGTGGGGGTGGGGGGTGGGGGGTCTTTCGAACCACCCGAACCCCCCCTGGCTACAGGCCTGGTAATGTGTAAACTGTTGGTGTTAATAAACAATACTTTAAAATGTAATTTAATGAAGCGTCTAATCTATGTGGCTTCAGTCATTGTTGGGATACTTTTGTAAAAAAGTAAAGCGTTAACCTGGAAGTGTTAACTTATATCAAAATACAGTTAACGTCAGAATTATTAAACCTCCTGAATTATTCGCCCACTTGTTTATTTTTCTCCAATTTCTGTTTAACGGAGAGAAGATTTTTTGAACATATTTCTAAACATAACAGAATTAAAAACTGATTATTTTATCTTTGCCATGATGACAGCAAATAATATTTTACTAGAAAAAATAGCTTAAAGGGGCCAACAATTTTGTCCTTAAAATGGCATTTAAAAAATTAAAAACTGCTTTTATTCTAGCCGAAATAAAACAAATAAGACTTTCTCCAGAAGAAAAAAATATTATCTGACATACTGTGAAAATTGCTCTGTTAAACATAATTTGGGAAATATTTGAAAAATAAAGAAAAAAAAATCCAAAGGGGGGGCTAATAATTCTGACTTTAATATATTTATCGTTCAGTATGGAAAATAATTATCGAGATTGCATTTTTGCCATATTGCCCAGCCCTACAATCTACTGTTTACAAAAAAAAAAAAACATTGATCAATATCATTTTAGGCTAAATCTTTCAAAACCAACAAATCATATGCACATCCCAAGCAACGTAGCATATTCCTCTCACTCAGATCATGCATAATTTAGGACGTTAACTTGTCAAGCACCTCATTTATCAGCAGCATCGATGATAGGAGATCAATAGGACAACATGTGATCATGCAGCTGTCATGTTTCAACAAGTCACCGAAGCCAGACTCTTTCAGATGAGACACATCTAAAGCTCAACGCTCTCTCAACACAAATTATTGAACACCGAATCGATGATCCTGTTGCACAACACGCATTCGGCGTTCGAGAACTCGGCGTTATCTGCTCCGGTCTTACATAATAGCGCTCCGTTTATTGCATTAGCGGGGATGTGCTGGCATGCGAAAGCTTAAACAAGTGCTAATGTGTAAAAATAAACGTCCTGTAAACAGAGCGCCTGGAAAACTGTACGTCAAACAGACTGACAGCACAGCACGCCTAATTCCCAGGGTTAAAAGGAAAGATAAAGTGGAAAATAAATGACTTACACTTCTAGTATTCTGTCTCCTTTTACGATACCGGCCCGGTCCGCAGCTCCGCCGGGTAACACCGCGCTGACATGCTGGAGAGGAGCGTACAGTTCCCCGTTAATGCTCCGCAGCTGGCCGCCTTCGCTCACTTGTCCGCGGACGTTGAATCCATATCCCGATTCTGACTTTATTATCCGAACCACACGCGGTCCAGAAGCTACCATGGTCGGGGTTTGGCTCCCGGAACCGAGCATCCCCGAGCCGTTAACGCGAGGCGCGGCGGGGAGCACAGACGGAGGAGCGGGCCGAACGGTCTCATCTCCTTCGATCTCCGCCATCTTTAACTCGGTTTTTTTCCCCTCTCTCCTCCCGTAGGCCTTCAAAACAACAAGCCAGAAATACGCTCGACCCGCCCAACCATCACAAGACTTCTTTCACTTTCTCCGAGAGTGTGTGCGGGGTCTCTGGAGAGCCAATGTAGAGACTGTCACTTTGTTTTGGTGAATTATGTAACAGGATATCCTGTTGCTAGACAAGACACAATTGAATGATGACTGAATAAAAGCCGCAATTACTGGTGATTTCAGCTAATTATGAAAAAGTGAAATAAATGGTTGTTTGGAAAACCTTCTGTCCGCATAATATTCGTTTTTTTGTTTTTAATTTTACTTAAAATTTGTTCAAGCTTTTTTTAAAATTAATCCAAACAATTGTTTGTGTAAACTCAATCTTTTATCTTTTAATATTAGAAAATTTTGCTTTTTCAGATTTCTTTTCTTCATGTTGGTTTAAAAAGCTCATCATTAAAAAAATTGTTTATCGCTACATTTTGACCATAGTCAACTTTCACGTTCAGATTTTAATATATTTTCACAATTTGTCTCACAGAATATTTTTCATGATTTATTTATTTTTGTTTCAATAACCACAAAACAACAAAAGTATTATAATTTTATAGTTATATACAGTGTATTACATTACAATGCATTTACGATGCATTTTAAGTTTTATTTATTATATATTCTAAAATATATAATTAGTAACAATGTATTGATAGTAAATACAGTTGAAGTCAGAATTATTAGCCCCCCTGCTTATTTTCCCCAATTTCTGTTTAACGGAGAAATCTTTTGTTTCAAAACATTTCTAAACATAATAGTTTTAATAACTCATTTCTAATAACAGATTTATTTTATCTTTGCCATGATGACAGTAAATAATATTTAACTAGATGTTTTTTCAAGACACTTCTATACAGCTTAAAGTGACATTTAAAAGCTTAATAGGTTAATTAGGTTAACTAGGCAGGTTAGGGTAATTAGGCAAGTTATTGTATAATAATGGTTTGCTCTGTAGACTATTGAAAAAATATAGCTTAAAGGGGCTAATAATTTTGACCTTAAAATGTATTTTTATTTAATTAAAAACAGCTTTTATATAACCAAAATAAAACAAATAAGACTTTTACCAGAAGAAAAAATATTATCAGACATACTGTGAACATTTCCTTGCTGTGTTAAACATAATTTGGGAAATATAAAAAATATATAAAAAATTTGTATATATTTATTAAATATGCTTAATGTATTTAATAATGTATTAGGGTATTCACTTATTTTTTGCGTTATTTATACATTTAAAGTTTAACATTGTTTCTATCTATTTATACTGCAAAACAACCAGTCCTATAGTGCTCCTATACTTTATGACCAGAATAAGCTGTGCATTTGTTCATTAAGAAATTAATGTGATAATGTATGATGTGACATACTATTGCTATAATAATAATAATAATAATAATGATGATGATTATTATTATATTATATTATATTATATTATGTTATATTATATTATATTATATTATATTATATTATATTATATTATATTATATTATATTATATTATATTATATTATATTATATTATATTATGTTATATTATATTATATTATATTATATTATATACAGTGTATTATATTACAATGCATTTACAATGCTTTTTATGTTTTATTTTTAATATATTCTAAATATATAATTAACAAGAATGTGTATATATATATATATATATATATATATATATATACACACACACACACACACACACACACACACACACACACACACACACACACACACAAATTTATTAAATTTGTAACATATTTAATAATGTATTAAGGTATTCACTTATTTGACGTTATTTATACATTTAAACTTTAGTATCGTTTCTTTCTATGTTTTAACGAATTTTCACCGAAGTGAAGCAACCAGCCCTACAGCATTTCTATACTTTATGGCCAGCCATATATGGCCAGTTGATCATTTATTAAGAAATGTATGGGAGATCTGAAAAATGATATACTGTAACATTAAATAACATTAATTATTTAAACATTAATTGACAAGAACATAAGGCTGGTCAACACACTTAAATATAAATCTACAGCGACATCTAGTGGATTTGTTAGCGACGCTCAAATAGTATGAGTTCTTTCTTAATTAAATGAAATCATTTGTGTCTAATTTTATTAGTTTAATGTATGTATTAATTTTTATTTTTGAAATAAGGCTCTAAGCCGAAGGAAAATGAATGAATGCATTTCTATTTCTTGCACACTCTGTGTCAATGATGCAGTTTGTATCTTATTCAGTATTTCCGCCCCCTTGTGTCACAAAGCACACAACTGTTTGCCAAAGGGAATATTTCTTTTGCTGATGGCCTGGTTTGCAGTTTGTTTTTTCAGCAGTGCAAACGAGGCAGATACATGTGTTAATTTTAGAAACACTGGCAAAGCCCTGTGTAACCGAAACCTGTGATAATAAGGCAATGTGCTTCACCTGCGAAAACAAACGGTGCGCTTAAGAGCTTATCGTACATGCTTTTCTTACAAGTGAAGACTTAAAGGAACAGATTTACTAAAAGCTGGAGATTTGCTGTTACATTTTCATCCTCAAAGCTGTGCAAGAAGTGATTTCATTTATAGTAAAACATTAAAGAAGATTTGAGGGCTCTTTGACTGAAAATATGCAAGTCAACAACTATGAGTACTTTGAGAATCAAAACAAAAAGATTAGTGCTCGGCAAAATATTTATATATATTTTTTTGACATAATATATGTGTGTGTTATATATATATATATATATATATATATATATATATATATATATATATATATATATATATATATATATATAAAACGCATGTATGTGTAGACACATACAGAGAAAACAAAACCAAAATACTACACAATTTTGTTACATAGATTTTGTAAATGAAATATAATTTTTATCACATATATACACACACACACACACACACACACACACACACACACACACACACACACACACACACACACACACACACACATATATAAGAAGGTCGCTGGGTCGCTGGTTCGAACCTCGGCTCAGTTGGCGTTTCTGTGTGGAGTTTGCATGTTCTCCCTGCCTTCGTGTGGATTTCCTCCGGGTGCTCCGGTTTCCCCCACAGTCCAAAGACATGCGCTACAGGTGAATTTAGTAGGATAAATTGTCAGTTGTGTGTGAGTGTGTGTGTGAATGTGTGTGTGGATGTTTCCCAGAGATGGGTTGCGGCTGGAAGGGCATCCGCTGTGTAAAAACCTGCTGGAAAGTTGGCAGTTCATTCCGCTGTGGCGACCCCGAATTAGTAAAGGGACTAAGCCGACAAGAAAATGAATGAATATATATATATATATATATATCATAGGGCCTGAAATTTTCTCAAATATATGCATACGTGTGTATTTATATACACATAATAAACATGCACAGCACACACACATATTATGCCAAAGCAAACTTTTATTTTTCATACGATTAAATCACAATAATTTTTTTGCCCATCTCCAATAAATATGCATGCACAGGTTCTCACCCCTGAGCTGAGGAAGTGAGCTTTTGTTGAATATTACATTAAAATGGTACTTATCATGGTACTTACCAATGTTACAACCTGAAAAAATAAAGGAACACTCACAGAAATAAAGATACAGAAGCTGTAACGTGGTGCTTACCTTTCCAAAACTTGGATTTTTGTATACCTAACAGGTCCATATTGGTAACCAAAAGGTCTTTGTGGGCCTTTTAAGTTCAAAAGTTTACCTTTTGAAAAGGTACTACCCAAGTGACAGCGTTTGTTCTTTATATCTTCTTTAGCCATCTATTTCAAACTATATATTATATTATGACTGAACTATTAATTCCTTTCATTTGAATCTTTTTAATTGATCTTCATTAGTACGCTAATAATAGAAGTAGTATTAGTAGATATTATATGGATTATGTAATATTATGGATGTTAAACTGAGTTTAACATGAGTATATTACACACGTGAGTAGAAAATAGCATCACCACCGGGATTATACCACAAAATGAAATTGCAGGTTTCTTTAAACATAAGCAAGAAATAGTTTCTGGAGCTTTCCTTGCTTTGACTAATGACAACATGTTATGTAACTAAAAAAGAAAACAAATGAATGTGTCTCTGCGCACATAATTAAAAATAAATAACTCAAAAATCACAAAAATGGTAGAGTTCTGTGATGGAAAAAATAATCCTGATAAATTCTGAAGTGCACTACAATATATATATATATATATATATATTTCCCCATGAGGCCACAGAAGAGGATGATTTTGAATAGGTGTACATGTAACTGGCACCCTAAAGTCATTTAACAGTAACAGCATGGTAAATGTAGTGGGTTAAGACTGAATTAATAAACCATCAAGTATTTTGAATATAGCTATTTCTTTGGGGCAATTTTGTCACTCACATAAAATACACAGAATTGTACATTATACAGTCCTATACATTGTTTCTTGTTCAGGAAGCAATTTAACTTAAATAAAACCAATAATAGGATTAGAAAACACCATCACAACTCTCACTTCATGCCGATTTTAACATATATTTTTATTTTGTATTACAATGTTTATTGTGTCAGAAACATTTTTATTACATTCTAACTCCACTAATTACTAAGAAGGCAGGCTGGGTTTTGTATTAATCATTAACTATAGTTTTAATGAGGAAAAGAGAGAGAATAACACACTGAATAATGAATAATACACTGCGTGTATGAATATTCATGTACAGCTTAAAACAACATTATAAAACTATTAGAGAAATCTTCTTGCTCTGTTAAAAATATTTGAAATGGAATAAATAGTTGACAGCAGGGCTAATAATTCTGTCTTTAATAATAAAACCCTACACATGAAGACTTTCAAATATTAAAGCTTTATTTCAAATAAAAACATCCTCTGTTTTTAGGACAAGCTCAAGAAAAAATACTGTTTGTAGGCCAAAGAATGTCAAGACCCGTCAAACACACCCACTGTACTTTAACCTCGCAGCAAAAGACGTTTTTATGGCGTTCATTCGATACTAACACACACACACACACACACACACAAACAAGCACACACATATACACAAACTCAAAGGTTCCAGCTTTGTGACTTCCTTAAATCCACCCTGTAGCAAGCCTCGCAGGCGATGGACAAACCCAAGACCAAAGACACAAACTCCTCAAAGTCAACCTCGCCGTCTCCATTGGCATCCAGATCTTTCATAATTCTGTCGACGAATGTCGGATCCTTCTGAGACTGCAGGAAGAGAAGGGTTAAACTAAGTTGAAGAAATGTAAGAGTCTGTTTCTTGAGATATAGTTCACCCAAAATATGAAAATTTACTCTCTATATATTTACCCCTGATTGGATCCAAACATTTACGAGTTTCTTTCATCTGTTGAACACAAGAGAAGATATTTTGAAGAATGCTGACATCCACGGACTTCCATAGTAGGAAAAACAGAATCTCTGGAAGTCAGTGGTTTTCAGCATTCTTCAAAATATCTTCTTTTGTGTTCAACTAACGATTTGAAAGGTTTGAAATAAGTGAAGGCTGAGTAAATGATGACAGGATTTTCATTTTTGAGTGAACTACAGTATCTCTTTAGAAAAAAGCTTTTAAATAAGAGTCGAGTATCTCCGAGAAGATCTTCACCTTAAGGAACCCAGAGAGCTCGTTCTCCATTAGTATTCGGAGTTCCCGTCGGGTCAGGGTGCCGCTCCTGCCCTCCTTTCCAGCATATCGGTGGAAAACCATGATGAGGGACTCCATGGCGGTCTCTAGTTCGGATGGCATGGCTGCGCGATGCTCAGGTCAAGCACTATAGAAAATCAATATGAATCTAATATTAACAAAACAGGCTTTACAAACGCTAAAAGATACATTAGAATGAAGGCTTACCGTTTGGGCGACTGAGTGAAATATTTGAGAAATGCTGGTTATCTCTCTGAAGACTTTATAGGCTAAAGCCGCACCCAGGAGTCTTATCAGGGATATTGAGCAACTGTTTTAAGCACAGCATACCATAGTGTATGAATTACTCGGACTTTGTCTGTTAAACACAGATTGATGAACTCAAAATGATGCACACCAATGTATCGTCAGAAATTGCACAATGCACTCACCGGCCACATTATTAGGTACACCTTTGTTAGGAAACCACTATTGCCCTCAGAACTGCCCTAATCCTTCATGGCATAAATTCAACAAGGTACTGGAAATATTAGTACTAACGGGGCCAGTGTGGCAAGAAAATATCCCCCACACCATTACACCACCCTGAACCGTTGATGCATGTGGCAGCAGAAATCGAGACTCATAAGACCAGGCAACGTTTTTCCAATATTCTACTGTCCAATTTTGGTGAGCCTGTGCAAATCGTAGCCACCGTTTCCTGTTCTTAGCTGACAGGAGTGGCAGTGGATGTTGTCTTCTGCTGCTGTAGCCCATCTGCCTCAAGGTGTTGTGCATTCTCATCTGACCTCTGGCATTAACAAGGCTCTACTCAATGCATTTAGACATTTAGAAGTAGTCAAGTTGATCAGCTGAAGGTCAAACAGAGCATTGGAAAAGTGATTTAATTGACTTTAAAGATGGTATGGTTTTGGCTGGTTTGAATATTTCTGAAACTGCTGATCTTTTGGGATTTTCACACACAAACATGTTCAGGGTTTACAGAGAACAGTACAAAAGAGAGAGAGAGAGAGAAAATATTTACAGCACAATGTATTAATCTTTGAGGTTGAAAATAGATGTAGATGTCATCTATTGTAGATGTCCAGACTTGTTCAAATGAAGAGAAAAGCAACAGTTATTTGATTTAAACATGTAACACGGGAGCATCTCTAAACTGTACTGGTCCTACCTATGTGCAAACTAAGTTGTGTCTGAGCCTACAGGACCATTGCTCTTGTACATTATTCACCATTGGTTATTACTTTTTTAAACCATGCGATCTTCATGTAATATAAATGTGAATTCAGCTATAAACAAGTGACGAGGACAACTGCACAGGGAGCTTGTGCTCCATTCATGCTGCTGCATTTGCGGACACTATAGACACCATTTATTGTAGGACACCATTTCACCCAATTACCTCAATATATTGTCATGAGCCATGGATCTTAATTCATGTTTTTTAACCAAACCTCAAAGCAGACTTGCATTTTATGATTCACCAAGGACCAGTTTAAGTTAAAATCTAGATTTTTTTTTACTGATTTGATGGCTTAAGGAAGTAAATGAGGGCGTCACGGTGGCTCAGAAGGTAGCACGATTACCTCACAGCAATCGGGTTGCAGCTGGATGGGCATCCGCTGTGTAAAACATACGCTGGATAAATTGGCGGTTCATTCCGCTGTGGTGACCCCAGATTATTAAAGGGACTAAGCCGACAAGAAAATCAATGATTGAAGGGAGTAAATTATCTTTTTTGGAACTTGATGCAATTTCTCCCTTAGCACAGTTTATTTAGACTTGTAACCAACAGTCCAATCACATTTTGATTTAATCCATTCTGAGATAAACTACTTTTATTAAAGATGATATTAAATACTTAATAATAAAAATGCACATTTAGTATAAATTATTCATTAAAAAATAAATAAATCACAAGCCTTGATTTTGCTCAAAACTATACACTCTAAAAAACGTTGAGTTATTTAATTTACCCAAACTTATTTGCTGCTTTGTTGGGTTATTTTTAACCTTTATTAGGTTTTTTTATTAATAACTCAACCAGTTGGGTTACAAATTTGAATTTCAACAGTGAACTGATTTAACTGACACAAAACAGCTGTATTAATATGTGTTTGTTGTTTTTCTGTTATAAAGTTAATTTAAGCTATAACGCAATAATATATATATATATATTTTTGTAAATCTGATTACCTCCCCATGTCTTGGTTTTTACTTGTTTTTGATGGCTATTTCACCATCCAAGACCATCTTTTAGAAGTGTTTGGATGTGGTTAAAATGTATTGTACATTGTGGACACTGAGTGAAGCCTGCTGCAGCTGCTGGGCAGTCTCTACAGCACACGGAGCTCCATATTCTGCTCAATCAACACATGATTTTCTGCTTGCACAGTTTTTAACTGTCTGGACTTTGTTCTGTTTCCTCATTGTTAGTGATTCTTTTATTAAGTGTCTGGAACTAAAATGTAATAGAAATAAAGCATTTTCAATATTTTTAAAATATGTATGTTATTTATTTACACAGCCATAATTATAAAATTAATAGTAGTACTAATAATAGTAGCAATAGTATTACCAGAATGGGAAAAATAAAATTTAATCATAATAACCCAATGCATTGGGTTAAAAATGTATTTTTAGGTGTACTGTCACTTTAAGGTAACATTTTACGTTCGTGTTTTGTTTTATGTCCTTGCACACTAATTGAAAAAGTCAGTCAGTTTGATTTAAACACTGTTAACTACCACCTGTGTTGTGATATTGTCCACTGGCAGCAGTAATGGTGCGGCGTGCTGCTGATGAAGCGGACGTGCTCGTTTCCACGGAAACGGGATGCGGGCTGGAGACGGAGAGCGTTTAAAAGCATCTCCAGCTGCGTGCGGATGCAGCGACATCCTACTAACCTACATACCAACCTGAAACACGCAATGGCGGCCAAAGGAACATTTCTCCACTGACATATGATGATCTACTGCGGCGAAGCGGAACATAAACGGTAGGTGTTGCGAGATTAGAACAGAATGAATGTAAATCCGCGTCGTAACGTGGAGCTTCGATGGTGTGCGGTGTTTTATTGATGTAATTAATGTAGCTGGCTGCAAAACTGCAAGCAGGTTCTGCATTTGTTGCAATTAAACGCGTGCAACGTGCAGCAGTTCTCAGTGTCGTATAGATTAAACACATGCAGCAGCATCACGTAATGGCGCCCAGATTTCAGGTGAAGGTAAGCTAGGGCGCTGCCGAACACAGCTCGTTTTGACCGGGTACACAGTCCTGTCTGTAGGTCAAACCTTTCGTCGCGTTTATAGGATGTGAATTAACGTTAAATCTGTTTTTTTGTTGGATGGGGTGACGTGTAGGGCTGGTTGACATTGCTGAATGACCGCGACATGAAAAAAAAAACAATAATGTTTTACGAGCTAACGAAGGCCTTGCTAACGCATGCGTTTACAGCATATAGGGGGTAAACTGCTTGTTTAATGCCAAGATACAGGACTGCAAAGCCATTGTATAAGTCCTTATAATAACTAGCGTTTTAATATTTATAACCAGCCTACTGTATTTGCACTGTGCTGTGTTTGTGCGTCTGTAAAAACAAACTTAGAAAAAACAGGTGTGAGATCCGTTGCTTAGTGCATAAAGGAGTCACCAGAAACATGTCATGTTGTGTTTGTGTGATGGACAAGGTCATTCTTTAGCTGATGTGGCCTTCGCAGAGTGTCCAATGTCACCCAGCTGTCCGTTTAAATCATTAACAGGTCACTATCCATTTTTAAAGAGAGTCGCAGTATGTGCACCAGAGACAGCTATTTATAAAAGGTGTGCGAATCTCTCATAGCAACCATGCAGACAGCATGAAAGTTTCATTTCTTTACTCATCGTATACCGCCTTCCTCTTTATGTGCAACAGAGGGTGCATTTACATGACACCATTTTCAATGCATTTTAGTGGCTTGAGAAAAACATCAATTCTTTTTTAAAGTGCAATTTTCTGATAATTATATTTATAGAAACTGTAAAAGACATTATTTTGTGAAAATGATGATGACGTTACCCATATATATGTTTCATGTTTATTCTACAGATGTGTAAAAATTCACCTAAACAACATTAGTGGATGACATGACTCTTGGAAAATAGATGACACAAAATAAACTCATCGTCATCATACCCAGAAATAACTATCATTCATCAATCATGGAGCTCAGAAATCCTGTGCAAAATATGACTTAAACACTTAAAGAGTACATTTAAACTGACAATAATGTACTAAATTTCAACTTTTAAAAAAATCACATTCAGTTGACAATGTTGTCAGATGGATTCGTAAAAACCAACACAATCTCATGGCAATTCATAACTTTTAGATTTAGTGGCTATTTCGTATGAATTTGTACTATCTAATTCGCACAATTCAGTACGATTTGCTCATCCCCCAATGACGGTTGGGTTTAGGGGTGGGGTTAGGTGCCATGCCTCCTTTTTAAATTCTTACAAGTTTGTACGACTGAACTCGTACGAATTAGCCACTAAAATATTAAAACGTAAAATACTTTTTTCACGTGAGATCAGGCTGGTAAAAACTAAACGGAAAAACTAACGTGGTAAATACAAGCAATCAATATGCTGACAAGTACTTATGCCGCAAATAGATTTAAAATCTAATTTGCAAAACCATAATGGTATAATTTTTAAAAACTTGCTCTTTGAAACCCATTTTTAATCATTTTAATGTACCCAGACCCCCAAATACTGTACCACTGTTTTGTTAATGAACAGTAAAAATACATAAAAGTTTAGCATTTTTAACTGAATGTAAACACCTTTAAATTTAGAGATTACCTTCTTCATATAAGGGAGTATGTGTTTTGCCAGTTTTTGTTTTAGAACTGTCATTAAATACTTTGACAATGACACATAAAAGAGTTCTGTTCATCAGATAATCATGAAAAAATATTTGTCTTACATATAATGCACCACAGAGAACTAAAACTATTGTTTCTTGAGCAGCAAATAAGCATATTAGAACGATTATACGAAACATGTGCTGGAATAGTTGGTGGATCATTCGGCTGTGGTGACCTTTGATAAATCAGGGTCTAAGCTGAAGGAAAATGAATGAATGAATATAAAGGAAATAAATAAATAAAAATAAAGTTATATTCAATTGTAATTATGAGGCTTTAGATCAAATAAATGTGAATCACAAAATTATTTTTAATAACCTTTTAGGACTTTTAATCAGTTATATTTGCTTCACTGTTATATTTTATTTCATGATAATAGAAAAAAATAAAATAGCTGCAGCCCATGCTGTAGTTAATATTTTGAAGATAACATTACAGTAATTCTTTGACTAAAGTCAAGAACATTAATAGACCCTTTTCACAAGTAGGGATGCAACGATTATGAATTTTGGTTGTACGATTATAGTCTAAGAAATAATCACAGTTTCACGGTTAACTCGATTAACTGCATTAATTGATTTCAATACCCCACTAGTTTAAAACTAGTTTAAGATTGTTTTCAATTTCGTTTTGTAGTTAAGACCCAACTAAATATTTGTTGCTTTTCTAGCTGTTTAAGTTAATTTAATTGAATATATAAAAATAAGTGGATATTATCGATGCCTTTATTGGGTAAAATTGCTCATTCAATGTGTTTTTGGTCATTATCAATGCACCGACAAAAATAGATCCAACGGCGAAACTGTCGTGCCACTGCTGCTTCAACGATGCTCACGCCTCAGGTTGACACACTGCTTCTGCGTGCAGTATGAAAGCTCTAATCTGTTAACATGGACGCCAAAAAAAAAAACCACACGCTCTGCTCTCGCTTGCGATGTGAAACAGGCTTGAGTCTTTCAGCACTCTCTCCAAAAACACTCGATTGATCTAGGCTGGCATTCGCCACGTGATCGCTCTCATCAGTGCCATTATTTTTAACTTTAAGTGGGGTTGCAAATTTGTGTACTTTCCATTGCTTCTTCCTTAAACTTTAGCCCTTTGCAATTCCCGCGGTCACAAAAGCCACCTGTCATCTCAACTAGGTGTGCCTGAAAATCGTGAGCATGTTCGTCGCGTCCCTTCATTGGAAATAACGAACTTGCACAAGCTTGCCTTATTTAATAGCCCCAGTCATAGTTAGTCTAGTGTGTGTGGTTATTGTTCTTGGTGTACTAACTACTGCACAGTTGGCATAACTTTTAGTTGCTGCATATTTTTTCCATGCAGAAATGCAATGTTGAGAAGCCTTTACGAATAATTAACTGTGACGAATTAAATCGCAGTTATTAGTGAAACCGGTTAATCTTCGCATCCCAATTCACAAGACTGTTTAGACATGTTTAATGATCATCAACATCTTAAATCCTTAAAAATGTTTAATATTTTGATAAAAACAATGTATGAACGTTTATATTTATGTATGTTTCATATCATCTTTGCATCAAATTGAATAAAACTAATTACAGCTTGTGCAGAGCGTTTGAAATGCAGTGTGTATAGGCAGGAGAGTATTTGACGTTATTCCTTCTTCCTCATTATCAGTCTCACACTATTTTATTCCTTTTTCTGAAAGTCTTGAGAACACAATTGTTGAGTTTTTCTATCATAATTTCAGCAAATAGGATTGTTACAAAATATTGTGCTCTCCCATTTACTGCGCTCTAAGTTTACCCAACTGTGATCTTTCCTCCTCTCCCTCATCCTCTTTCTTTGTTTTCAGTTCACTATGAAGAGTATGGAGCAGGAGCTGCAGTGTCCCGTCTGCAAGGACATTGTCAAGCAGCCCATTGTACTTCCGTGTCTGCACAGCGTGTGCCTGATGTGTGCCTCAGAGGTGCTGATTCAAAGCGGGTATCCTCAACCCGAGCTCCCGCCGGAGCCCAACTCACCCGCTTCCACCCCAAACATGCGCTCACCAAGACAGATGCGCAGACCCATGCCTAAATCTGACCGCGTGGACCGCCTGTTGCGCTCAGGTGTGTAAAAAGTGTCTTCAGCAGCTATGCTTCGCCCAATTATTTTAGTAGGATACTACATGAAAAAAACTCTCAAAGGAAATGTGCATGATAAGGTCATGTGCTCAAAATCTTCATCAGAAAAAAAGATATGCATATAAACTAATATGGAAGCAAATTTATCAAATAAATTGTGATTAAAAAGTGATTTTGCCTGCTGATGTGTTTGGATAACTGCACTGTGAAACATTTTATAATACAAAAAGTCAAGAAAACAAATTTTTTTTAGGCTGCTTTAACTTATTGTAATAAATTAATCAGGTTTCAACAAACAAATTGAAGTTATACAAAGTTTACCTTGATATTTTTAGTCAGTTTTATTATGAGTTGAGATGACTAGAAAAGTTCATTTGATTCAACTGAGGCAGCAAGATTATTTTTGCAGCGTAGACTTCTGTATAAATTTGCAACTTTGGATATGCGCATGATTAGTTCCATGTAAACAGGTTGATATGTTCAAGTAATGTGACTGTGGGTGTTTTTGTTTAGGCTCTGGGACATACCCGGGTCGCAGGCGAAAGGACGGCCCCCCACCTCTTATGCTGTTTCCTTGCGCCCCCTGTGGGCGAGATGTAGAACTAGGTGAGAGAGGACTGGCTGAGTGCATGAGAAACCTGGCACTGGAGAGGATTGTGGAAAGGTAATAATACATATCCAAATACATTCAGGCATAAATTATATTATATTATATTATATTATATTATATTATATTATATTATATTATATTATATTATATTATATTATAATTTTATCATTAACTTTTTATTTATTTATTTATTGCTTCTTAAAAACACAATGTTTAGTGTTCAATGTTATTATAATGTTGCATTATGTTTGTCTGTAAATAAATAATACAATGCAATAAATATAAAATTATTTTTTTTGTCTTTAAATTAATTTCCAAATTTAATAACCTAATTGTTTAATTTATTCTAAGAGAATTTTAATATAATATAATATAATATAAAATCTTCAGTTTATACTTGTTTATATTACTTACTGTCAACATTCTTATAAAATTTTTACACATTTGATTACAGACATTATATTTGTAAATAAAATATTAAAAACACAATAAATCCATTTAGGTTATTTTAATCTGAATAAAATCTTAAAAATAAAAATAAAACGATAATAAAAAAATAAAATATATTTAGTCTGATTAAAACCACATACAGTACTTGCAGACGAAAAACAAAACAAAAGAATGCCTTGCTAAAGGATCTCTCTCTCTCTGTTTCTCCTGCTGACTATAGGTATAGACACACAGTGAGTCTGGGCAGTGTGGCAGTGATGTGTCAGTTTTGTAAACCCCCACAGGCCCTGGAGGCCACTAAAGGCTGCGCAGACTGCAGAGCCAGCTTCTGCAATGAGTGCTTCAAACTCTACCACCCCTGGGGCACTCCTCGAGCCCAGCACGAACATGTTCAGCCCACACTCAACTTCAGGCCAAAGGTGAGCATCCACCATTTATACCCAATTACCTCTCATTCCTTGAGGTCCAGGATCCGATGACAAATGATTCTACATGAAACTGTATTTACTTCCAAAAATATGATGTATTTCTGCAAGAAACAAGATAATCATAATCTGTAAGCCCCTACCCAGGTAGCAAAGAAATCTGGCCCAGATTTGGCATAAGGCTGGCACAGGAGGCATTCATCCGGAACTTGTATACAGCATGTGGGCCAAACATGGCCTGGGTTTGGCAGAGGTGGCACTGTCTTTAAGGCGGCACACAAGATTTGGGTCAGATGTAAAATTTAGTATTTGGGCCAAATGGTAAAAATTAATATGTCACTCTTTTTGGCCTGTCTTGACCCACATTTAACATACATTAAAATTATTTTTGATATAAGAAAGAAATTCTGGGCGACATGGTGACACAGTAGATAGTGCTGTCGCCACACAGCAAGAAGGTCGCTATTTTGCATGTTCTCCCCGTGTTGCCGTGGGTTTCCTCCGGGTGCTCCAGTTTTCCCCACAAGTCCAAAGACATGCGGTACAGGTGAACTGGATAAGCTAAAATTGTCCGTAGTGTATGTGTATGAATGAGAGTGTATGGGTGTTTCCCAATGATGGGTTGCAGTTGGAAGGGCATCCTCTGCATAAAACATATGCTGGATAAGTTGGTGGTGGTATCTGCTGTGGCGACCCCAGATAAATAAAAGGACTAAGTCGAAAAGAAAATTAATGAATGAAAAAAATTCTACCAATGAGGTCGCTTTGAGAAAAAGCACACCACATCAAGACACACCAACCTATCTGGCCCAGTTATGAGTTATTACCTTGGCTGAGACCCAGTTGTGGTCCATGTTTGGCCCTTGTGTGGAAGCCAGACTTGGTCCAGTCATATACCGTAATTCACTGCGGCATGTGGGCCAAGCAAAGCCTGATTGTGTGGGCCAGAGCCGGGCCAGAGAAATTTTGCTATGTGGGTAGTTACTGTTGCTAAGTGAAGTTTGCACAAATATAAAAAATCCCAAATGTAAAGTAAAGTAGTTAGAGTGGCTGAATGTAGTATTGGTAACCTAGTAACCAACAGTAAACAAGTCAAGCATAATGGAAACAGCTGATTATGCTACACCAGAGTTTATTTGGCAAATGCATTTCCATCTCCCATTATTTGCATTTAGCCTTCTTTGGCAAGTCTAAAATCACCTCATGCGAGTGTAAAAGCTTTTTTTTAAATGTAAATTAACAGATTTTTATTTAAAATTTGGCATTTACATCACTCGTTTTTCCTGAGTCACTTTAAAATAGGCATTAACACAGGATGAGGGAAATCCAGCAAATATAAAAAACATGATTTTTCTGTTGTTGAAATTTTTGACATATAAGGACCACCATCTTGTTGATTTTAGCCATAAAAAGACGTCCCAGTTCTGTTTTCAATGCTACTGATACTTAACTTCCATCTGCATTCATGGCAGAGGGGCTTACCCTGGGGCGAATTTATTGATTTTGGGGCCCTAAACAATTCCAGCCAAGGGGTCCAAAAGATCTAAAATCTACTTTTTGTACTTACATTTTTTTATTATTATTTAGTTTTTTTCTTATATCATTCGATCTCTTGTTCTACATTTTATCTTAATGCAAAATAATAACATGTTAAACACCTTGTAAAAGTTTTGAAATGATTAATTTTCTTAAGAGGAATTCACAACTAAACATAATATATAAACTATTTCGTTTGATCTTTACTGATTTGACTGCTGGACTGGTCCATGATTGAAGGTGGGGGACATATTTGCGCAGATGTAATAATTACGTTAAACTTAACATTTTTACACCCTCACCATACAAAATATGATTGAAAACAATATTATATATAATTTATAGTATCATTTATACTTCTAGGTATTTATTTGAGGGCCCTTTATTTGAGTCAGTTGCATATGCAGATGAGACGTTATTATCAACAGATGATCATGAATTGTGTCTGTCTGTAGGTGCTGACATGCCCAGAACACGATCAGGAGAGGCTGCAGTATTACTGTAAGTCATGTCAGATGCTTCTCTGCTCTCTCTGTAAACTGCGTCGAGTCCATGCGGGTCACAAAATTGCACCCGTCACCCAAGCCTACCAGACTCTCAAGGTTTGTTTATCATTTTACCTCTGTTTTAATCTTGCATCAAAATTAATGTAATTTTGCTTGTGTTGGCAAATGTGGAGAAAATGTAGTGAAAGATGTTTCAGATTTTCTTTTAAATGCTACAACACTGCCACCTTTTGGCTGGACCAAAGCAATACACAAGCAGTATGAAACAATGGCAACAATTGTATGAAACAGTGCAATATATCAGTATTATTCAGTACTACTACTTAGTTTACGACTGAAAACTTGGACATTACAGGTAAACACGCTCAGTTGTGGGTTAACTTTATGTAAGTGAGGTATGTTTCTCTATGAAGATGTTTTTTTTCTTTAATCTGATGAGCATAAAAATATTTACATTCACAATGGCTTTTGAAATCTGTTGCAAATGGCAACAAGTATGATGCATTTTACACATGTGATTTTACCCATTTGAAAGCAATAATATAAATTATAAGTAATATTTTTATGATCACTTATTAAAAAATATATTCATACTTGAGTATGTTTCAGAGTATATTGCACACTAAATGACCATGGAACATTATTTCAGCCATATTTTATATTCACAACAATTAAGGTAGATAAATCATTTGCATTTAAAGGGACAGTTCACCCGAAAATGAAAATGCATTTAACATTTATTCACCTTGAAGTGGTCCCAAGCCTTTATGAGTTATGATCACAAAGTGTAATTTATTTACAAACTAATTTCAAGAGGATCACGTGCTTATGATTGACCACGGCGGGTCCCAAATTAGCTATCAGAACGCAGGATAGTGAAAGTGTCACGGTGGTTGACGTCGAACTTTTCTGTTGTGTTTGGCGTGTCTTCTTTGTCGTTCAGTCTGACTTTACAGCTGAGATCTTACAGTGTGACATGGGAGCCATGTTCGTGCAGTCTAAAGGCTGATTTATACTTCTGTATCAAACGCCGGCGTATGCTACGGCGCTGACGCATAGCCCTTCACCGTGGCCATCGTCGTCGCTGACGGGCACCTCTCAAAAAATGTAACTACACATTGCAATGACGCGTAGCGCAAGCTTTGTGATTGGTCGGCTTGGTAGCGCTGACGAGTCTGGGCGGGACCGAGAGCCGCATGAATGGTGCGAACATGATGGAGCCATTGTTTACAAGTGTGGAGTCCTGTAAAGGAGCTCCAGATGGAAAGTTTTGTTTTGTGTTTACCTCATAGTTAAAGTTGCTGCACGTCCGCCGGTTCCTGCCTCAAAATGAGCGAGTTTGAGCCACTTGTACATCCCGGAAGTGTTCAGGAAAACCAAAACAGCAACAAAGAAACTCGACACAGAGGAACATTTACACCTCACTGCCAACTAGCGTTTCAGAAGTGTTAATGCAGACCAACAGACAGCGCGCAGTAGTATAAATGCACAGCTACGCGCGTTGCATGCGCCGTGGGCTACGCCGGTCACTTGAAGCAGAAGTATAAACCAGGCTTAACACTATGTACAGTTGCCCTGAATCAGGCCAAGGAACGTTTGTCCCCCCTACCGTCTCCCCCGACACCCCGCACTCACATTACATTCTGGCCTGGGCACGCTTAAGTCATTGATGATTAGCTGTTTAGTAAGAAGCACTCTCGCTCAACACAGTGGAGATTTCTTTAGTTATATCGTTTAAGTTGTTTGATATGCAATGACCAGCAGGGCCGGAGCAAGCTGAACTGCCGGGTGGGGGTGGGGTGCTCTCTATTCTGCCACCCTAGACGCGGATATAATTGTGGGCGCGGGGGGTGAGGGTAGTGTCGGGGACACCGCTCTCTCTATTCTGCCACACTAGACGTGGATATAACTGAGGGCGCGGGTGGTGAAGGTAGTTTAGGGGACGCCGCTCTCTCTTATCTGCCGCCCTAGACACAGATATAACTGAGGATGCAGGTGGCGAGGCTAGTTTCGGGGACGCCACCCTCTCTATTCTGTTGCCCTAGGCGGCCGCCTAGGTTGAAACAGCAGCTAAATATTTTGCCGAACAGATCCGCCACTGTTGACGCTCATAAACAATCATAAAATCCTTGTGCTGCAGGAATTAGGAGGTTTGCTGAAGGTGCTGCTGTCCTGCAGTAAGGGGTTTGTGTCTTTAATAAATTACGACAGTTTGCGTTCATTGAACAGTAAGAATGATTAATAAATCCGTATCAAACAGTCCCCTAAAAGTCACATCTCGCTGTCAGTTTTAGACTCAGGCACATTTTGCTCACACACAAGCGTACCACGCCAAAGCCCAAGTGAACTGTGCCAGAGCCCGATTCAGAGCACTCACACTTCTCAAATGATCTGGGAAACGAGCCTGGGCACAGTTCGGATAGCATAGTGTGAGTAGGCCCTAACATGCTACATAGGCCCTAACCGGCCTTCAGTCATCATCACTCCAAAGAATCCCCCATTCATCCCTATTTCTCCTCCTCTTTCCTAGATGAATCTAGGACAGGGTGGCATGGGGTCTCAACGGTTAGCACAGCCACCTCACAGCAGGAAGGTCACTGATTTGAGTCCTGGCTGGGCCAGTTGATGTTTCTGTGCGGAGTTTACATGTTCTCCCCTTGATCGCAGTGTTTTTTCCCGGGTACATCGGTCTCCTCCCACAGTCCAAAGACATGGAGTATAAGGGAATTGTATAAAGCAAATTGGCACAGTATTAAAGTGTTTTAGTACTTTACCTTTACAACATAGCCATATGCTGATATAGTTGGCGGATCATTCCACCGTGTCAACCCCTAATAATCAAGGAATAGGCTGAGCGAACAAATTTGGGGGAGCTCTCGAGACCTGCCTGAGTCTTTCTCCCGTGACAGTTTGGCAAACACGCTTTATTATCAATCTTTAGCTAAGTGTGAACTCTTGGAAGAAGATATTTTGAAGAATGTTGTAAACCGGTTACCACTGACTTCTGTAGAAGGAGGAAAAGTACAGTGAAAGTCAATGACTACTGTTTTCCAACATTCTTTAAAATATGTTCTTGAGTGACCAACAGAAAAAAGATACTAAATTACTTTTGGAAAGAGTGAAGGGTGAGTAAACGATGGCAGCATTGTTGGGTCAACTCTACCATTAAGATAATTTAATTAATTAATTCATTCATTTTCTTTTCGGCTTAGTCCCTTTATTTATCAGGGGTCACCACAGCAGAATGAACTGCCAATCTATCCAGCACATGTTTTACTCAGCGGATGCCCTTCACTGGGAAACACTCTCATTACACCCTCATTCACACACATACACTACGGACAATTTTTGTCTACCCAATTCACCTATAGTGCATGCTTTCGGACTTGTGGAGGAAACGGGAGCACCTGGAGGAAACCCACGCCAACACGGGGAGAACATGCAAACTCTTTGTTTGCCAAGGCTCAAACCAGTGACCTTCTTGCTGTGAAGCGACAGTGTTACCCACTGCGCCACCAGATAATTTAATATGTTTTGTAAATTCATTAAAAAAATGTAGACACACACACAAATGCTATGTCTAAAATTGTATATTTTTGTAAACTCCAGGACAAGATCACCAAGGAGCTGAACTACATCCTGTCCAATCAGGACATGGTGTTGACTCAGATCACACAACTGGAGAGCGCTGTCACTCAAACTGAGGTACAGCCACCTTTTCCATCATCTCACACAAAAGCAAAGCAGATGTTTGATGCACTGTGCTCTTGTCTGTATGCATGAACGCAGGTGAACAGCGTATCGGCCAAAGAGCAGCTCTCTCACTGTGTGAAGGAGATAATGGCGCTGCTAACCGAGAGGCAGACAATGCTGGCGCAGGCTCTGGAAGGTTCACGGCAGAGAAGGGCAGATGCTTTGTCCAGTCAGGTGGCCGAAAAACGCAGCCTGCTGGAGCATGCTGGACTGATGGCTTTCACCCAAGAGCTGCTCAAAGAAAATGACCCATCGAGCTTTGTTCACGCAGCTAGAATAACACACAACAGGTGCGTCCCCCACTGACTGCCTCACTGTCTGCTGATAATACTGGTGTCTGTTCCCCGATTCTGAGAATGCTGGACTGTCGTCTGTCTTTTGCACAGATTGGCCCAGTCTATTGAATCTATGCAGCATTTTGCTCTCTCTGCCGATCCCTCGTTTCGTCACTTCCAGCTTGATATTTCCAGAGAGCTCAAACTCCTCACTGACCTGAACTTCATTCAGGGTAGGAAAAGAAACAAATACACATGAACAGTTTATAAAAACCACTCAAAATCTGTGAATCTACAAGGTGTTATACTGTATAAAGAAGCACATGAAATAAACATCTTCACAATGTATGAGTGCTGTGTAGGCAAAGCTCGCTGTATGCTAAAACATGCAAGCAACATATTAAAACTCGTTAGCAAGAAAATAGCAAAGTATTGTAGCTTATTAGAAACATGCTAACAATGTGCTGGAAAACCTTAGCATTAATGCCAAAACAAGCTAATAGGATGTTTTACCATGTGCTGATACTAGAATTATACCAACGTTATGTTGGTATAACAATGTCATATTGTAGCATCATGCTAAATCCTTCTAGCTACATGTTAAGATTGTGCTGAAACATGTTAGAAACATTCGAATAATGTGATAAGATGTCAGCACCATGTGGAAATGAGTTAACTACATGTTAACATTTTGCAATCTGGGGTATCTTAAGCATGATAGTAATATGTTAAACATTATATTGACATGCTGAAATAGCTACCTACATATTACCAATGTGAAGCAAGAAACATGCTAACAAGCTAGCAACACATTACTGATGTGTTGATATATGCTAGAAACATGCTAACAGTGTGTTAATGCTAACAACATGCAAAACAAGCTAGCAATACATTATCATTAATTAATTAATTCATTAATTCATTCATTCATTGATTTTCTTGTTGGCTTAGTCCCTTTATTAATCCGAGGTCGCAACAGCGGAATGAACCGCCAACATATCCAGCTCGTTTTTATGCAGCGGGTGCCCTTCCAGCCGCAACCCATCTCTGGGAAACATCCACACACCCTCATTCACACTCATACACTACGGACAATTTAGCCTACCCAATTCACCCGTACCACATGTCTTTGGACTGTGCAGGAAACCGGAGCACCCGGAGGAAACCCATGCAAACGCAGGGAGAACCAGCAACCTTCTTGCTGTGAGACGACAGGACTAGCTACTGTGCCACTGTGTCGCCTCAATGCATTACCAATGTGTTGAAATATGCTAGAAACATGTCAACAATGTGCTAATGCTAACAACAAACAAAACTAGTAACACATTACTAATGTGTCGAAATAGTCTAGAAAGATGCTAACAATGTGTTAACATGCTAACAACATGCAAACAAGCTAGAAACACATTATCAGCATGTTGAAATATGATAGAAACCTGATAACAACAACACGCAAAAAACAAGACAGTAACACATTACTGATGTGTTGAAAGATGGTAATAATGTGCGAATGCTAAAAACATGCAAAACTAGGCTAGCAACACAATACCAATGTGTTGATATATGATCGAAACCTGACAACAATATGCTAACATACATTACCAATGTGTTGAAAAATGCTAGAAATGTGTTAATAATGTGTTAACATGCTAACAACATGCAAAACAAGCTAGCAACACATTATCAGTATGTTGAAATATGATAGAAACCCTAATGACAACATGTTAACATGTAAAAAACAAAACAGTAACACATTACCAATGTGTTGAAATATGCTAGAAAGATGCTAACAATGTGCGAATGCTACAATGCAAAACTAGGTCAGCAACACAATACCAATGTGTTGAAATATGATAGAAAGCTGATAACAATATGCTAACATGATTACCAATGTGTTGAAATATGCTAGAAACACGTTAACAATGTCTTAACATGCTAACACCATGCATAGCAAGCTAGCATCACAAATGCAAAACAAGCTAGCAACACATAATCAGTATGCTGAAGACAGAAGCCTTTTAACAATGCTAACATGCAAACGTGTGAATGCTAAAAACATGCAAAAGTTGGCTAGCAATACATTACCAATGTGTTGAAATCTCATAGAAACTTGATAACAAAATGCTAACATACATTAGCAATGTGTTAAAATATGCTAGTAACGTGTTAAAAATGTGTTAACATGCTAACAACATGCAAATAGATTGCAGTACTTGCAGTAGTTTTTAATTCAACCAGGTTCATCTTAATTAACTTTATCCAGTTTATTTTATTTTTATTTATTCGGTGTTACAGCTTTATAGAAACACACTGGTTGTTTTTAATTCAACCAGGTTTGTCTTGATTAACTTTATCCAGTTTATTCTATTTTTATTTATTCTATAGGAACACTCAGTGTAATTTTATTTACATTCATTTAATAATGCAAATCTTAAATAGGATTTAAATTAGACTCTGCAGATGTAGGTATTAGTATAATGTCCAAAAAGTATGAGATTCCATACACCCCACAATGTTTCAGTTGTATTTATCAGTGATTATATAAATTGAAAAGTAGGCAATAAGATATGTTGAAAGTAAGGTTTTACCTGCAAAATGTAATCTTATTTATCACCAACTCTGTTTGCAAACTAATCAATATGACCTATCCCATCAGCCCCTTTCGCACCTGTAATTGACACCCAGCGGACCCTCGCCTATGACCAGCTCTTCCTGTGCTGGCGGTTGCCCCAAGACTCCACTCCAGCCTGGCATTTCTCTGTGGAATTTCGCCGACGAGGGGTAGTGCCAGGGGGCGGGGCAAGAGGGGGTATTCGCGGGGGATTGGCTGCCGCTCGCTGGGGCTGGCAGAGATTGGAGGAGGTAACCGGGACCTGCGCTGTGATTGACAGGCTGGAGATGGACAGTGTGTATGTGCTCAGAGTGAGAGGCTGCAATAAGGCCGGCTTTGGAGAATACAGCGAGGAAGTATATTTACACACACCACCAGCTCCAGGTAAGATATTTCTCTTCAACACAAGACATAGTAGAAGCAAAACTCATTTCCAAATGATACTCATCTGCTCATCTTTCTTCTATTCTCTCTTTTTTTTTCTTATTTTTATCCATTCCCATCTTCTCTTCTGTCTCCAAAGCTTTCTGTTTTTCCATGTTTTGTTTCCCAGCTTTAATGACAGCAGTGCTAAACTGCCAACTTCCCTGTTCCATTTTTATAGCCCTTAAAACTCTTTCTGTTAACGTAGCTTTGTTCTTGTTCATACACTCACTGTCCACTTTATTAGGTACACCTGTCCAACTGCTCGTTAATGCCAATTTCTAATCAGCCTATCACATTACAACAACTCAATGCATTTAGGCATGTTGACATGGCCAAGACGATCTGCTGCAGTTCAAACCGAGCATCAGAATGGGGAAGAAAGGTTAGTTCATTGACTTTGAATGATGCATGGTTGTTGGTGCCACGCACAGCCATCTCTAGGGTCTACAGAGAATGATCTGAAAAAAGAAAATATCCAGTGAGCGGCAGTTCTGTGGGTGAAAATGCCTTGTTGATGCCAGAGGTCAGAGGAGAATGGCCAGACTGGTTCAAGCTGATAGAAAGGCAACAGTAGCTCAAATAACCACTCGTTACAACCGAGGTATGCAAAAGATGCTGAACCTTGTGGCAGATGGGCTACAGCAGCAGAAGAACACACCGACAGCCTCTCCTGTCAGCTAAGAACAGGAAACTAAGGCTACAATCCATACAGGTTCACCAAAATTGGATAATAAAAGATTGAGAAAACGTTGCCTGGTCTGATGAGTCTCGATTTATGCTTCGACTTTCGGATGGTAGCGTCAGAATTTGCCGTCAACAGTCATCAGGTCTCAATCCAATAGAGCATATTTGGGATGTGGTGGAATGGGAGATTCACATCATAGATGTGCAGCTGACAAATCTGCAGCAACTGCGTGATGCTATAATGTCAATATGGACAAAAATCTATGAGGAATATTTCCAGTACCGTGTTGAATTTATGCCACAAAGGATTAAGGCAGTTCTGAAGGCAAAAGGGGGTGTACCTAATAAAGTGGCCGGTGAGTATATTTCCCTAATGTTTACATTCTTTGAGCCATTTATTATTTACACCACTTACTCTGTTTATTTTCCATGCAAAACCCTTGATGTAGTGAAATATTCTGTTCTGATGTGAATGTCTACTCACTTTGTAAATGTGGCCAGAAGCATCTTTAACGCTGCATAATGCTTTTTAACACATTAAATAGAGGCCCTTGTTACAAATAATAATCCAGGGTTTGCAGCTTCCGAACAGAAGGCAGATGTTCCCCAAATTAAATGTCAATATTAGCTTATTCCAAAACATTTTTTAAGAGTAGATAACTTTATTAATTTATTTATATTACACAGAATCATAAGTTATTAGATGAAAACACTTAAAAATAGCATTACTGAATATATACATAATTATTCAAAGATCTGTGATTTTTAAATGTTTCTGTAAATGAAATTATGATAAGATTAATAGATTTTTACGCTGTTATTAACTTTGTATTCAAAATACCATCAAAAACAGGATTATTAATTTTAGGGATTAAAAAATATTCTTACAAACAATATATTATTTAATAGTAACTATATTTTTAAGATGATGTGAACATTTAGTTTTGAAAAAAATCTGCCTTTCTGCTGGAATGCAAATCGTTTCCCTCTTTGCAGTCTTGATTCTCCCTGCTATTCCCAGACTGCATTTTAGGGCTGGGCGGTACGGAAATAATGCAATCTCGATTCATTATTTTCCATATTGAATGAGAATTATATTTATTTATTTATTTAGATTTACAAGAGTATCCCATCATTGGCTGAAGCCACAAAATGAGAAGGTCCATTAAATATCTCTAATATCAACACATCGATATCCCATTATTTTACATTTCTGCGGTGGATTGGCTTTTAGATCAATATAGAGTAAAAAAGTCCAGAGCTTATCATTATTAATGACATAAATTGTATCGCGATTCAATATCATATCTTTTATCGGCCCAGCCCTACTGCATTTCTTTGTCTTCTTTCTTTGTTTACTGTTTTCCTGATTGCTGTTTTATATGCTATGTCTTCCTTCTGCATATACAGTATATCTCCTATTCTATACTTCTCTTGTCCCTTTTCCACCCACCCTTAACTCCTTTTGTTTGGTGCCTTAATTCTATGTCCCTCTTTCCCCTCTTCTTCTGTCCTCCTCCAAATTTCTCCCATGTTCCCTTTGCTGTTGTCTCCCTTGGCCTCTTCGACAGTTTTGAATTTTTACCTGGACTCTCGCTGGGGTCTGCACGCGGACAGACTGGTGGTGAGTAAGGAGCAGCGATGCGCCCGCAGTGTGCCCGGTCTGTCTCTGCTGCAGGCCGCTGATCGGGCACTGACCTCCTGCCACCTGACAGCGGATCTGCTGGTGGGAGATGTGGCCATAACACAGGGACGACACTACTGGGCATGCTCAGTGGAGCCCGGCTCATATCTGGTCAAGGCAAGTTCTGGAAGAGGAAAAATATATACAGTTGAAGTCAAAATTATTATTATTATTTTCTTTTTTTTTTCTTTTTTATTATGTTTAACAGAGCAAGAAATATTGTATAATGTTGAATATATATATGGTATAAATTCAATAATATTTCTATTCTGGTGAAGTCTTTATTTTAAAAGCAGAATATTTTTTTCTAAAACCATTTTAGGGTCAATATTATCAGCCCCTTAAACAATATTTTTTTAGATTGTCTACAGAACAAACCATCATTATACAATGACTTGCTTAATTACCTGTGTCGCCAACCTAGCGGCTTTGTTACTATATTTAGCGACTTTTGACACCCCCTTAGCGACACATTTTCAAAAAGCGACTAGCGTCAAATCTAGCAACTTTTTTAGTGTTACTGTAGATTTTTATAGACTCTAATGTGTCCGTACTGTACTGTTTCTACTCCTCTCAATGAGCTGTGGGTGATTTTGTCAGTTCCTCCCCCGCCTCAGAGCACTCATAGACAGCCCACTCCTCGTACAGCAGTCAGTCACTCAAACTGTACATGCAGCCTGAGTATGGAGCTAATAATATGCCAAAACAGTCTGAATTTGAATTGTGTTAATCTGAAATATTGACAATTGTAATTTAATAAATCTGAATTTTTGTATGCCATAAAAATATTTGAATTTCTTAATTTAAATTTGAATTTCTTAACTTGAATACTGAACATCTTAAAAAATTTAAGACAACTGAACTTTTCAAGGCTGAATTTTTTAGACATTTTCAAACTTCAGTTTTTTTGTGTTCTGAATTTAGACTGCAGAAATCCAGTTTGTAAAAATACAGTTTCAATTTTTCAAGATGAAAAAATTCAGAACATCAAATTCAATATACTAAAATTCAAAACCAGAAATTCAGATTGTGAAATTCAGATTCAGCAGAAAGTAGGTCAGGGGTGATCAACAGGGAAGAGTTGAAAATCACAGATGTTCCGAATTTCTTTATGTTCAAAAACTTGAAACTGTATTTTTACAAACCAAATATCTGCAGTCTAATAATTCAGAACACAAAAAATCTGAAGTTTGAAAATACATCTATAAAAAATTCAGCCTTGAAAAATGTCAGATGTTCAGTATTCAGGTTATGAAATTAAAATTAAGAAATTCAAATTCAAAACAGTATATAAAATTCAGATTTATTAAATTACCATTGTCAATAATTCATTCATTCATTCATTTTCTTGTCAGCTTAGTCCCTTTATTAATCTGTGGTCGCCACAATGGAATGAACCGCCAACTTATCCAGCAAGTTTTTAAGCAGTGGATGCCCTTCCAGCTGCAACCCATCTCTGGGAAACATCCACACACACATTCACACACACATTCATACACTACGGACAATTTAGCCTACCCAATTCACCTGTACCGCATGTCTTTGGACTGTGGGGGAAACCGGAGCACCCGGAGGAAACCCACGCAAACGCAGGGAGAACATGCAAACTCCACACAACGGCAACTAAGCCGAGGCTCGAACCAGCGACCTTCTTGCTGTGAGGCGACAGCACTACCCACTGCGCCACTGCTTCGCCTATCAATATTTCAAATGAACACAATTCAAATACAGATTGTTTTGGCATATTATTAGTTCCATACCTGAGAAGAGATCGATCCTCTGCATGCCGACAGCAAATGATTTTGCACCTGCGAGCGTCAGGTATTTTCCTTGTAACATTACAGTCAAGCTGATCAGCTTCTCCTTTGTTTTAAATTAAAATTTTCTTGGTTTACAATCAGAGATAATTTAGTGGCAAGTTTTGGAACTTGTCTGAGTTTATTTGGTCTGGGAGATTACTACATATTCATTATACATCTATAATAATGTAATGTGAAGTGATGCACAGAACAGAGATTGGTCAGGCAAGCAACATTCAATACAGCAGCAAACAGATGTCTAAGGGCAATCCAGAGTCGTAGTCAAAATAACAGGCAGATGGTCAAAAAGGCAGGCAGCATACAACATAAACAAACAAAACAAAGCGAGGGTCAAAAACACGGCAAGGCAAGGAAAACGCGTCGTAATATTTACTTACAGTTCTACAAGACTCGGCAAAGTATGTGTGTTTGTGAGCTATGTATATAGTCCTGAAATCAGTCCATGTGCAGCTTCAGACTGGAATTGTAGTCTATAAAATGGCGGATTTGTAGTTCTATGTGATCTGTGTTTACCAGTAATCTGCACAGGTTGGATCGCTCGTGACCATGACAACTAATATAATGTATTCAAACAACAATACATTTAATCAAATTGACCTGCATATATAACGTGTAGTGCAAATATAAACACCCCTTTATTGACCATTGGCTGTTAAACAAACAAAAACTGCTGGACGTGATGACGTCAGTTATATGCTAAATAATGTATGACATAATCTAGCAACATTTAGTGACTTTTCGAGCAGAGCTTAGCGCCTTTTCATTGAAAGTAGTTGGCAGCACTGCTAATTATCCTAACTTGCCTAATTAAGCCTTTACATTGCACTTTAAGCAGAATACTACTAATAGCAAAGATAGAATAATTCAGTTATTAGAGATGAGTTATTAAAACTGTTATGTTTAGAAATGTGTTGAAAAAAATCTCTCCGTTAAACAGAAATTGGGGAAGAAATTATACAGGGGGGCTAATAATTCTGGAGAGCTAATAATTCTGACTTCAGCTGTACGTATAAACATCTCCTCTGTTTAAATGTTTTATTTGTCTTTGGGTTTCCCTCAGGTTGGCGTAGGCCTGGAGTCAAAACTTCAAGAGTGGTTTCATCTTCCTCAAGACATGGCAAGTCCAAGGTACTAACTACATTTCAGAAATGAAAACAGGAAGGAGATAGAAAAGACCCACTCTAATAATAAAGGGACAAGAATTATCTGTAAGAAAGAAAAAGTTTGCTGCAACCAAAAAAAAAAAAACACTGTAGCTCTTTATGCTTCCATAATGAAGGAGTTGCAGTTACACACACTATCATGTCTGTTCAGAGACAGATACTGTGCCTATATAAAACCACCATACCTCTTTGAAATGATTACTTTATCTGTCATAAAGCCTGAAATCAAATATAATCCAAATAACTTTTCCAGCCTTTGAAATGTTTTTGTAGCCTTCTCTTAACCTGTGCCGTTCTACTTTATCCTGAAGGTCTTCTGAAAGCAGGGTTTTATGTGAGTAAATGTATAGATTTTCACAGGGTATGGGGATATTTAATAGGCACTGTATCTGATGTTTGGAATCTCAATCTTAAGGGTCATGGGAGTCATGGGTCATTTACCCAAATCTTCTGAATTCTGATGTTTAGGGGTCGCACAGTGCTAAAAGAAGGGCTGTGCAACCGGTGTTTGTCTGGCATTTCCAAATAACTAATAACTAATTTGATATGGTATGTGTAGGGATACACCAAAATGAAAATTCTGGACCAAAACTGAAACCCAAAAATTCTGGATGCACTTGGCCGAAAACCAAAACCAAAAATACTTTGTAATAGTTATGATTAGTTTATTAAATAATATAATTTCATAATATTTTAGAAGTGAACTAAACAGATTATACTAATTTTAGATTATACAGATAAAAAAAAATTGAAAAAAGACAAGACTCAACTTTTTAGTAAAATGTGTAACCTCACTAAATTCATATCTACATTTTACAGATTTGATCCAGACAGCGGTCATGACAGTGGAGCTGAAGATTCATCAGATTCTCCTCCCCCTTTTGCTTTCCTCACAATGGGCATGGGAAAGATCTACCTGCCTTCTTCTGTCAACTCCCATCACTGCAACGCTAATTACAGAGAGTCTGGCTTCACTAATGGCAACGGCCCTTCCTCGCCAACCGGCGTCACTTATCCGTTGCCACCGAGACTAGGAGTGTGTCTCGACTTTGAGAAGGGGCGTGTCACATTTTACGATGCCCATTCGCTCCGCCCACTATGGGAGGGGCCTGTGGACTGCTCCGCCCCAGTGTGCCCTGCGTTCTGTTTCATCGGAGGCGGGGCTCTGCAGCTACAGGAGCTGGTAGCCAATCGTAACGCAAATCAAACCCCTGTGAGACGAGTCACCATACAATCACGTGTCACAAAACTGAACTGACCTTCGTTTTTATAATTCGATTTTAAGAGACTCGATTTTAAGTTTTTAATTGCACCCAACGTAAAAACCTCTGCTGGTGTTTCTTTTGGTATTGAGAGGCCTTTATTGTGGCACTGCTTGCTGAATTTTAAAACTTTAAAAAAGAATACAATTAATTTGCTGTCACCTACACACTTACCGGCCACTTTATTAGGTACACCCGTCCAACTACTCGTAAACGCAAGTTGCAGCAACTCAATGCATGTACACATGTAGACATGTTGCAGTTCAAAACGAGCATCAGAGTTGGGAAGACTTATTATTATTAGAGTTATTTAAATGACTTTTAACGTGGCATGGTTGTTGATGCTAGACGGGCTGGTCTGAGTATTTCAGAAACTGCTGATCTACTGGATTTTTTACGCACAACCATCTCTAGGGTCTACAGAGAATGGTTTGAAAAAGAGAAAATATCCAGTGAGCGGCAGTTCTGTGAGCGCAAATGCCTTGTTGATGCCAGAGGTCAGAGGAGAATGGCCAGACTGGTTACAGCTGATAGAAATACAACAGTAGCTCAAAACTCATTACAACAGAGAAAGGCAGAAGAGCATCTCTGAATGCACAACACATCCAACCTTGAGACAGATGGGCTACAGCAGCAGAAGACAACACCGGGTGCCACTCCTTTCAGCTAAGAACAGGAAACCGAGGCTACAATTTGCACTGGCTCACCAAAATTAGACAATAGAAGATTGGAAAAATGTTGCCTGGTCTGATGAGTTTCGATTTCAGGTGATACATAAGGATGGTAGGGTCAGAATATGGTGTCAACAACATGAAAGCATGGATCTAACATGCCTTGCATCAACAGTTCAGGCTGGTGGTGGTGGTTTAATGGTGTGAGGGATATTTTCCTGGCACAGTTTGGGCCCATTATTACCAATTGAGCATTGTGTCAATAACACAGCCTACCTGAGTATTGTTGCTGACCATGTCCTTCGCTTTATGACTACAGTGTACCCATCATTTGACGGCTCTTCCAGCAGGATAATGCACCATGTCATAATACGTCAATCATCTCAGACTGGCTTCTTGAACATGACAGAGCTAACTGTACTGAAATGGCCTCCACAGTCACTAGACCTCAATCCAATAGAGCACCTTTGGGATGTAGGGGAATGGGAGATTCACATCATACAGTAGATGTGCAGCCGACAAATCTGCAGCAACTGTGTGATGCTATCATATCAATATGGAGCAAAATCTCCGAGGAACATTTCCAGTACTGTGTTGAATCTATGCCACGAAGTATTTAGGCAGTTCTGAAGGCAAAAGGGGGTCCAACCCGGTACTAATAAGGTGTACCTAATAAAGTGGCCGGCGAGTGTATATACCCATGAAAACTATTTAAACAGCATACTCACTTATATAAACACACACACTATATGCAAAATTATATATTTCCCAATTCATAAGCAGTGACATCTGTGTTCCAGTGTAGGAAATTGTGCCTCAAAGTTTTTTCATACTAGATTCCTCCCACTTGATGTATATTATAGTGATATAATATACCTTGTATTAAAGTGATTTTTGTTTATTAATCTCTAAACAGAGCAGAAATTCCAGACTGTTATACAAGGCCTAATTTTATAACCCACAATACTATTGTAAACATCTGCTCTTTAAACCTCTAGCCATGTGCTTTCAGGACAGATCTGTCAAACTCTTTCAGCTGTCAAGTGGAGCATTTACAAAGATATTTACTCAACATGCGTCTCATGCCAGACCAAATGCTTCTCGCTGCTGCTTTGCCTTAGATGGTTAGGAAGAATTTTTGATTTGTTGAAAAAAGTGGCTTTAAGGCTGCAGTTGATACTTTACTTTGAGTAATTTATTAAGACAAACTCACCTGTATAGCTTACACAAACTGTTGTTTTGAATTCCCATATGCTAGGAAAATATTGAAAGCTTAAAATAAGTGAAGAACAGAAATCTTCAATGCAATAGATTGAAAGTGCACCGCTTGGCTCAATATTAACGCCATCGAATGTGTGTGTATGTGTGCACTAATCCCAACATTATAAATCACCTTATGCAAATTCACACTAAAGCTTTGTAGAGACTATTTTTTAAGAGTTTGACTCGTGCGCTTCCCTTGGAATGGCTTTAAAAGAGTGCAGTTTGGCTGGAGAGAATGATGGCTTTCGCCTGCTGGTGATAAATAATTCTAATAAATAATACTTCTCTGAAAATGAATCCCATTCTAGTCTTAATGTCACTTAAAATAATATACTAAGGTGTGCTGTTGTTTTTTTTTTTATCAGTAGGGGGCAGCATCTTATTGAAACATGAGAACGCTGGTCCTCCTGCAAGGTGGATTATTAGACTATAGCAAATGCCCCGGTTTAGCAAAACATTTGACTATCAAAGGAATTCAGGTCATTTATGAAAAAAAAAAAAAAAAAAAAGCGACACTATATGTGGGATTTCCATTACTTTAGTTAAATTTTCATTAAGCAGAGAGCCCATGTCCATCAGACCTCGATGTAAATGTTTAAAGCTTAAACCCCCTAGAGGAGGTCACAATTCATTCAGGCTCACCAGAATTGAACAACAAAAGTCTGATGAGTCTCTGTTTCTGCTGCCATACCTGTCAACATTGGAAAATAAGGGATATGCCCACCATAATAAGGGACCCCCCCCCCCCCTCACCCCCTCACCCTTTTAAAAAAATCCCGAAATTACTAAATATATGTTTATTTGGAGCTGTTTCATTGTGAATGAACAGTTAAAAGGTCAGTAATATGTTTTATTATTATTTACAAAAGAAAAAAAATAAATACATACATTAGCAACAAATACATTAGCAAACAGTTTATAATGAAACAGAATCTCAAATCTCTTCAGCCTTTTCTTCACTGTATAACTTAAACATTTTGATTAGAGCGACAAATTAATCTCTTATTTATTTAGATTTTTTTTCATGTGATTACATTATTTAACAGGTTTCACTTTAAAAATGCACACATCTAACTATATAATGAAAGCATTCGATTGCTTTCCTAACTGTTTATGCTCATTTAAGACGAAATTAGTTGTGTTTGAAAAAAAAAAAAAAAAAAACCCACCAAGATTGACATCTTTAGATGTTATTATTGTTAATTATGTGTATATGTCTTTTAAACACGCACCCAAAATCCAGACTTTCTCTCCGCTTCACATTGCGTGTACAGAATCTGTTTGGGAAATAGCGTCTATTTATCTCTATGGAGTGCGTCAGCTTGACAGCTTACTGTCACGCACCGCTATATGACTGAACCGGATTACATAGGAGTGGTGACGGCACCTGTACTGAAAAGGAAAGGGAATTGCACTGGTTTTATATTTATTTCAAAGTGTTTTCTCGCCTAAACAAAGCGAAAGCACAGAACAGACTCTTATTTAAGAGCAAGGGGCGGCCCCTGGTGGTTCGGCGGTATGGGCTGTGTATAAGGAAGATCGGCTCTTTAATTTTTATTTGACACCCTTTTCACTGAAAATACAGGAGAAATACGGGGAAATATCTTTACGGGATGATAGCGGGATAGAACTGTAACGGGAAGGTTGACAGTTATGGGCTGGTCAGATTTTGGAGGAAACAACATGAAAGCATGAGCCTGTCCTGTCTTGTATCAGTTTGAATACATTGTAATGGTTTAGGCTTAGTTCAGTTCAAAAAAGTTGTGGTGTAGTAGAATTTAAGATTATTTTTCTTTGCACAATTTGAGCTCCTTAATTATAGACCATTTTGAGGGATGTAAACAATCAACGGTCCTATTGTGTTTCCTGTTTCACACTTTAATTTTCCATAGCTCCTGAGAATCCTAATCCCCCACCTTTTTGATAAACAATGTTATGACAGCTGTTTTAATGTTGTGATGCTATTGAACTGCCTTACAATACACCCAAAATCATTCCGTATAAATCTGCAGATTTTAATTTTACAATATTCTGTGCAGAAATAGCAAAAAATGTCCCTACTAATAACTCATAGTAACATGCAGTAGCTACCTCTAATAGCTATCATTGAGTTACTGTGGTTACTACGAATGTTAAAGGGAATCGCAGTTATTTTGAACTGTGATCAAAAATGACACATGCATTACATACTCTACTGCACACCTTCCAACCAATCAGAATGAAACAATTTAACAGACCATGTATAATATTTATCACAAAAGCATTGGGTTGATGCTATTCTTCAGAAGCAACACTGCAACTAGATGTTTGTGGGTTGTATTAACCCAACGTTGGGTCAGTTATGGACAAATCCAACCAGTGAGTTATTCATTCATTAATTTTCTTTTCCTTTTATTAATCAAGGGTCGCCACAGCGGAATGAACCGCCAACTTATCCAACATATGTTTTACCTTCCAGCTGCAACCAATAACTGGGAAACACACATACACACACTTATACACTTTATAGACTATTTCCCCAATTCACCTATAGCACATGTCTTTGGACTTGTGAGGGAATCCGGAGTACCTGGAGGAAATTCATGCAAACAATGGAAGAACATGCAAACTCCACACAGAAATGCCACTGTAAGGGCATCCGCTGCATAAAACATAATGCTGGAATAGTTGGTGATTCATTCTGCTGTGTGACCCCTGATAAATAAGGGACTAAGCCGAAGGAAAATGATTGAATGAATGAATGAATAACACAGTTTAGTTGAAATAACCCAGCATTTTTACAGTGCACCTTCCATCCAATCACAATCAGGAATTTCCGCATTGTGCAGTGTTGGGTTGCACTTTATTGTGATGCTATAATTCAGAAATTCTACTGACTGTAAGTAACATTGCAACTAGATGTCAACTAACCTTATTTAGAATATTAGTGTAATATTCGACTCTAAAAACTCATTGGGTCGATTATGGACAAATCCAACGCTTGGTTTAAATGAAAAATACACATTTTTAAACCCAGCTTTTGGATTAGTGAATATAAGACCCATTGTTAAGATAATACAACCCAACATTCTCTTTAGAGTGGAGACTGTAGGTTTACTCATGGCTTACTTACACTAAAATGGTTTCAAACCCCAAAACATGCTGGGTTGTTTTTGCACACATTCTGCTAAATTATGGACAAGCTCAGTGAAAAGTTTTCAGGTTAGTCCCTTTATTATTCTGGGGTCTTCACAGCGGAATGAACCGCCAACTTGTCCAGCATGTTTTACACAGCGGATGCCCTTCCAGCTGCAACCTATCACTGGGAATCACCCATAAACTCCCATTTACACACATGCACTACGGACTATTTAGATTATCAAATTCCCCTATACATGTCTTTGCACTATGGGGGGAAACCAGAGCACCCAGAGGAAACCCATGCGAACACAGGGAGAACATGCAAACTTCACACTGAAATGGCAACCAGCCCAGGGACTCGAACCAGAAACTTTCTTGCTGTGAGGCGTTTTTTTCAATATTTGTTTGTCCATATTTGACCCAGTGTTGGGCTAATATAACAAACTCTTTTATCAGAGTGTGGTAGACGTTGGTTTACACACTCTTAAGTGGTTCCAAGCTTGGGTAAAAAGGGGCTAAGCCGAAGGAAAATGAATGAATGAATGAATGACACAGCCGTTGGTTCAGTACACCCAAAATTTGGTTGAAATAACCCAGCATTTTTAAAGTGCACCTTCCAAC